TTTCCTGGGCACAAACTCAGGTAACAGTAGGACAAGCCGACTTTATATCATCGTCCCTCTTATTCACAATGTTCCTGATAGGTATGCCTCCCATTTTACAGAGAGAAATCCGGGCCCAAACAATTGGAGAACTTCACAGAGATCACAGGAGGTCATCGGGGCCAGGGTTTGGATGCAGGTCTCTGATCAGACCCTTTCTCTCTCCCTTACTTCCTCTAGCTCCCAGTCTCCCGGAAGACAGAAGCTCCAGCCTGGAATATATATAGGAACCATCCACCCATTTTAAGGGTAGATCAGTGTCACAACCTATTGGGATTGGCGTCTCAGTGATTCAAATTTTAAAGCGTTTTACTGTCACAGGGGATTAGCTTTAGAGCCATTTCTTAGTGGTGTTACAGTTAATGCCTTATGCTTAAGTAGCATTACATATCCTATAAAGGTTAAATTGGTTTATCTTGTCTCCTTCCTCTCAAAAGGCCCTATGCGAATTCCAATTTCTAAATACATTTAGGCAAGTGAGGGGGTAGAGTAGGAAAATTGGTAGGGACATGAGTTAATGGATTTTACTAGATGCCAGTGAGTTATGAATATATGATGACTGGTAACTGGTAGAATCTGCTGTGTATTTAGGCAGACACCCAGGGCAGAGTGGCTGCCAGTTCACCCAGTTAGGAATCATGCACTTCCAGAAGTAGAATAGGAGCCTTCCACGTCCTGACCAGAGGAGACAGAATTACACTACCAAAATAAGTCCTTGCCTAAAAGGGATAAACAAGAATTTGGAATGTTGGAACCACACAGAAAAAGAATGGCTAAGGTTGTGGGAAAGGCATCCACTGGATGTGAATTTCCAGTGGGGTCGCCTTTCAACGGACGGAGCAGACTCTGGGTAAGAACTGAAGAGTAGCTTGAATCCTTTGGGGTGAGTGACACTCTAGGTTGGTTAGTGTGTGTGTTGGGGGGAGTTACGGTTCTGTGATCAGGTTTGGCGAACATTCGAGATAGAAACCACCAGGATGGAACTGGTAATAAAGAAATTATTTTAATATTGGCAAACACAGGGTAAGAGGTGGCCTAACGTGCAGCTAGTCTATAAATTAGGGGTGGCGCTGGGAGGAATGTAAATCAATATTTATAAGTACTCTGAAAACACAGTTATTTAGTAAATAGAAAAAAACTGGCAATATTGTCACATCAAGATTCCTCAGTCAAGAATCCATAGGTGGGATTCTTGTTGGAAGCCGTGGGGGAAAATGGACAAGATTTATGTTTTATTAACATCAGCTGTGCTATATATACTGGGCATTGCTTTTTTTTTTTTTTCCCCCTTCTACTCTAATGCTTACTATTGTTGTGGGGATTTAAAAAATTATTGCTGGGTTTCAAATCATCTACCATATCCGAAAGATAGTGAGAATACTCAAGAGTTCATTAGGCCTGTATTTATGAAGCCCTCCAGGTCATCATCACCACTGCACCCAAGCCACTATTAAGTGCTTACTGTGTGCCTGGCTCTGTGCCAAGTATTTAGTGTACATCACACCTATCACACAACCTATGGGCCTGTTCTTTTCCCATTCACGGATAATGAGACTGAAGCTCGTACCTTAATTCACCTGCCTGAGATGACACAGCTGGAAAGTGACGGAGTCAGCATTAAAAAATAAGTCTATAATAACTCATGTGCCCAGACTCTAACTATGGCATCGGCGACGTTAACTGTAAATCCACGGGATGGAAATATGGTAGAGGTGAATCTATTCTTTAGTTTCCATCTGACGCAAGACCAAGGGAAGAAAGAAAAATTTCTCTCGTGTTTTCACAAGGCATCTAGTCCTAAAGAAGAGCAGCAGCTCAATTTCAATTTTTTCTTTTTTTTTTCCTAAGAGAGAGAGAGTGGGTGGGGGAGGGGCAGAGGGAGAGGAAGAATCTCCAGCAGACTCCCCACTGAGCAGAGCCTGCCTCTGTTTTGGGGCTCCATCTCAGGACCCTGAGATCATGACCGGAGTTGAGATCAAGAGTCAGATGCCTCATCGAAAGAGCCACCCAGGTGCCCCCCCCCTTTTTAAACTTTTTCAAACTTACTCTGTGTTTAGGGACAAAGAAGGCTATGTTACTTTGATTTACTTGTTTTTCAGATCAAGGTGGAGGGGGGGATTTACAAATTATCAGCTTTTCACAAATTCTTCCTTAAGGAAGTCATTTCCGAGCTTTTAAATATAATAGGACCCTGCCTTTTAAATAGCATATTGCATCTCGACAAGAATGTATGATGGCTTTTCAGTTGCTAGCATTGAGCTTCCAGATCTGCTGTGAAGAGGTTTTCAGTTCCAGTGCTTGGAAACTGCAGGCCTGACAATTCCCTACACCACCATCCTTGGGGACCACTGCCTTAAAAACCACTTAAGAATTATAAAAATTATAAAATTACAAAGTCAACAGACTCAATAAAAAAAAAGGCTGTTTTCAGTAAACTGCCTACAATCCCAATTCTCCCAGAAAAATAAGAAATGTATTTGTAACAAAGAAATCAATAAACATCAAGGCCAGCAGCTCATCTTCTGTGTTGGGTGAAACCTCAGAGTTAGGAGATCTAAATCTGGTACAATATTCGCAAGGCATTTGGCAACCATCCCCTCTGAGAAGTCTTCCCTGACTCTTCTGGTCCTGTTTATGTTCCCTTCTGTGTCCTTTGCTGACATAGCACAGTGTTATTGTCTGTTTGCTCGCTTCCCTTTCTCTTTAGAGTGCAGGCTGCTTAGGCGGGGCTGAGGATTTATTCACTTTTATCACCCAGCACAATGGTCGGCACAGGGTTGGTGCCAGTAACGGCTCAACAAAGGGGGCCGATCACCATCTCTGTACTAATGGGACTAACCTTTAGACCTGAATTTCCTATAGCGTGCTGAGGATCTCTGTGCCAGCTTATCATAACCACCTGGTTCAAGGACAAACTAATTTAATTACCAACGGTTAGTACAGGTGACTTGGTTTCTTGTTTCTCTTAGACTTTTAAAATCTTTCGTGAACAAGTATTGTTTTGGCTAAAAGAAAATTATCTACAGAAATGATCCTTTTTTTAAAAAAAGATTTGAGAGAGAGAGAGACAGCACTAGATAGAGAGCGAGCGAGCACAAGCAGTGGGAGGGGCAGACAGAGGGAGAAGCAGGCTCCCCACTGAGCAAGGAGCCCAATGTGGGACTGGATCCCAGGACGCTGGGATCATGACCTGAGCCGAAGGCAGGCGCTTAAAACGACTGAGCCACCCAGGTGCCCCAGAAATGATCTATCTTTACAAAAGTATGTTCATACTGTATCGCATAAACCACACACACTTGCAGGCTGACAAAAACTCAAACTACATGAAGCAAAAGAGGGATTATCCATAAAGATTCTGGTGTCCCAGGAAAACCAAGAGCAGGAATGTGGGAGCAGTTGTTAAGTCCTACACCCCACAACCTGGATGCCCTTACCTTCTCATCTCCAGCCTATAGAGGGCCAATCCCAAGGTTTACGTAGCTTCAGCCAGGCACAGGATAACCCTTCCTTACTTCCAGTCCCAGAAGTCCCAAAGAGAAGAGGTCCCTACCTAGACCATCGAACAGTGGCCAGAGGGACTGTACGATAAATCCCACAGAAACACTGTGGGTTGGAGGCATGTCTTTAGAAACTGGTGGGCAGATGCTGGGGTGTCCCAAGCAACAGGTATCTGTCACACATACTTCTACTTAGACTGTTCTCTTGCCCAGAGGCTTCTCCAATGATCAAAATGTTTTGCATCCTTCAAAGCTCAACCTTAAATACTTCTTCCGTAAACCTCTATTGATCTCTACTCACCCAAGTCTGAACTATATCTTCCTTCCTTTGTGCTCCTGTGCTTTTCATTCTGCCTTATTTTATAGTAAATTTTTATGTCTGCAAACTAAAAGGAGAGTGATGCCTGTACTTGCATGGCAACTATGTTTCCAAGGTATTTTCACACTTTTTTCTTCTAAGAGAGCTTCACCTTGACTTTGTGATAAGGAAACATTATCTCCTTTTTACAGGTAAGGAAACAGAGGTTCATGAACGTTAAGTGACCCAGTAGACCTGCATAAGCGTGTGTTATAATACCAGTATTCTCTCCAAGGCTTTCTCCACTTGCACCACGATGTTTCTGGAGACAGCAGGATGCAGTAGAAATTTCTGCGTGGTCATCGTTTGGGGAATCAATAGGGCTGGTAAACAACTGTGGGAAAGATGTATAAAAATACACAGGAGAGGGGCACCTGGATGGCTCAGTCAGTTAAGCGTCTGCTTTTGGCTCAGGTCATGATCCCAGGGTCCTGGAATCAATCCCCGTGTTGGGCTCCCTGCTCAGTGGGGAGCTTGCTTCTCCCTCTCCCACTTCCCCTGCTTGTGTTCCCTCTCTTGCTGTCAAATAAATAAATACAATCTTTAAAAATAAAATAAAAATACAAAGGAGAAGGGGTGGCATCATTTTGGCCAGGGAAGACTCTAAGTCTCCTCCAGCCTGTGTCCTTCCAGGGAAGACTTCTGGGGCGAGGGTGGGGGATGGGAGAGCGGCTGTGGCATTCCCGTCATTCCCGCGGTAAGCAGATGGGCAGGTGAGCCCCGTCTTGTGGGGGTTTTAGTTCTCATTCTTTCCCAATATTATACTTGCTTTCTTGTGTGAGGTTTAGATATTGGAACTTTGGTTGGCTGTCCATCAATAATTGCTTGTGCTGCAATTCCTCACATAAGTTTATATATTTAGGTCTAAAATTCCAAATTTTGCTAGTTTTTTCTTAATTTCCGAAGTTCCACATGTCCTTTTCCGATTAAAGGGACTCTGCTCTCTTCACGATTCAGTTTCTCTGTCTCTGTGTTAGTAATTTAGTTTGTTAACGTTTGGCAAGGAATATTTGAGAAAAATCTCTCAAAAGAGAGCAAATCCTATTATTCCTAAAATCTAGTGTGTGAATTCAGGAAGGAAACAACAAAGTTTTAATCAAAGTAAGCAATAATGACAGGTTTATTTAAAATTTCCAGTAGAGAAAACCCACTAGTTTCGGAATAAAAGTACTCAATGTACGAGAGCGTTAAGTGAATATAAAAGATTAGCAGAAGAGAAATAAAACCAAACATAGTACAAAAAAATTTAAAAAGTTTGAAATGGATTTAAACAGGGATGTTCTTTAAATCCTCCAAATATTTAACAGTTACTAGGTTTGGCAAACAATTCACTTGAAAATTAAAGCCTATTTCTGTAAACTCCATAAAAACTGCTTAGTTACATTCAAGCACTCCATACAATTGGTATTGAAACATACAGGCAGTCGATTTCAGAGTAGCAGGAATTACTCATTTGCCCTCACAGTTACATGAATTAACCAGCTGCATAACTGCTTTTGGAGAGGAAGGGATAGAAGACACGAAAAAAAAAAAGAAGTACGATAAAATCTCTAAAAAATGGAAACACAGCAAAATTCAGACATCAGTTTGTTTCTTGAAAGCAACAAACTGACTCTTTACAGTATATTCTACATTTGCAGTTGTCATTTCCCTCTCCCCCACCCCCCTCAAATGCTCCTAAATCCACTAGTCTAATCAATTCTTAACTTCCAAATATTCTGTACATATATATTTAGCAAAGAGCATATGCCTAACATTATTCTGACAGCAGTATGGTCAGCATACAATTTTAGAAAGATTACTATGTATATCATCAAGATTAAACTTTACTTAAAAAACAAAAATCGTTACTAAACAAATAGTTTTAAAATATTATGAGATCCCATGAAAAGAAGACTCAACATGGGTTCTAAACCTGATAAAAACACACTTCAGAGAGACTATTAATGCTAAACTTTTGCCAAACGATGACCTTAAAGTGCCAAACACAAAAGAATCTCTTAGGATCATTTCTCCAATAGATAATTTGTCCCTGGCTTGGCCATCTCTCCTTTAACTATACACGAAGTCCTGCTAAACGTATGCATTTTAGTTGATTTTACCATAGAATGTTACAATGTAAACTAAACAGGTTCTTGATATCGACAGTATGTTACCAAGGTTTTTTTTATTTCTGAATCCAACAGTTGGTCACAGAGGTCAAGTATTATCAAGGCTCCTTTGTCAGTTCTCGATTGTGTCTGACTCATCCATCCTTCAAGTACATGCAAGGCTCAATAGTTTTCAAGAGGCAGAAGCCTGAGGCCATTTAAGACACAGATGAAATAGGATTGTGAGGTGAACCCATCTGAGTAAGAACTTTATCCAGCCACTGGAGCGGGCCATGCAGGTGGATCTCAATCCAGCAGGGGGTGCTAGTAACATCCTGGCGGTGGTATTCTGCTCCCCAACCCTAGAAGACACATTGGAGGTCATTTAACTTGCTTAACTCCGTGGTTAAACTTTAAGTAAGAGTTCTCATAACCAGACATGCTGATTAAAGACATGGATGCTTTCCATAAGACAGATGCTTGTGCACACAAACACATACACAATTTGGCAGGCAATTTCAGGGGATGGGTGTGTTCAAGGGTCCCTGAAGTCCCTCTATACATTCCAGGTTAAGAAGTACTGGTCTTGGGGAATGAAGTTTCAAATACATTATAAGGCTGTTTTAACGAAGGCACTTTTTAACTTTCATTTTCATTTCCCACTATGTTACTGATAGGATTGTAACAGATATTAAATTCTCATTTTATCACCAAGAAAACAAGGAAAAAGTTATGTTAGACAAACTGACATTCTGCTTCTCCCCCACTCAGTCACCGATGGTCCTCCTATCAACACAAGAGCTCTTGATCTTTCAATCTAGAAGCAAACTGGCAGAAGCACATACATATCCAAAAAGCTATTACTGACACCTAATCATTGCTTTGAATCAATAGATTTCACTATACATTTGTACAAGAAGGTAGCTTGCCAGACATCTTCAGTATTACTGAACTGGGACACCAAAGCTGCAAAAGAGAAAGACAATCTTGCAATTGCAAAGATCAAAAAAACTCACTGGTGTGGTGGGCAACGGAATATAAGCTCTGATAAACCCTTGTTTCACGAGGGATGTCAGAGAAGGTTGGGTACTATTTATCTCTGACACCTACCTACTCCAGGAATTTCAAAGAAATACATATATATATCAGAACTTTCGGCTAAAAGTCGTGATACATGAACTGCCTATGTATATACATCCATGCATTTCTACATCTATCAGTACACTGCTAACTTGAAGGTTTGTGTGCATGTTTCCTCCATTTGATAGTAAGTTCTTTGAAGGCAGGGACCAGATCTTATTTATCTTTGGTCTCAAACATCTAGCACAGTGATTGGCACAAAGCAGAAGCCCTAGAGATACTTGTTCAGCTAAACTGACTTGGATTTTTCGGATATATGGGGAGTTTACTGTGCAAATAATTTATAAAATGTGTGCTTTAAAGTCCAAAATGATCGTCTTCAAAATAGCACAAGATAGGCTATTAATATGAGTAAAATGTTCTATATCATTTCTCTAAGATGCTAAGTGTGACAAGGGCAAGGTATGCAATCCTTATGATAAAAAAGAACAATACTGTACAAACACTATGCAATTTTTTTTGTTGTTGTTGCAAATGTATGATAAGCAGCTGCCCTTTATCATGTTGGCAGGAGTTTTAAAACAAAATTTGTTGACCCTTAACTCCAAATCCAGCTTCCCAGATATGTTCATTATATCTTATATTACCCCCCATTCCAGTATATATCACATTATTTTATGATTAAATATATACTAGGCCATTAGCATTGTGAACCTAGAGACATTAGGTGCTTTTTCAATCTTTGCATTAATTCTCTGGAATAGTGCTAAAAATATTTGCTGAATGAATGAAATCTAATACATTTTTAATGCATGTCCTTATATCACAAACACTTTTTATTAGTGTAAAGTTTGTTTTTATGTGTGTAAAGGTAAATAATTAAAAATGTATAAAAGTAAAACCATTAAAATTGGGTAATCAATATGAAATGAGCTTGAGGAGAAAGCCAGGTTGGAGCAGTAGAGTCATAAATTCTTCTTCAGTGGTCCTTCAATAATAGTAGACTACCACAGTTCCCAACTCCATCCACCCATTTTAAACATGATGATCGTGAGGATCAGTAAAGGATCCCTGTGCCTTAATCGCACAGTTAAAATGGCAGCTAAAACTAGAACCTGGGTCTCCTGACTCTTAACAGGTATTCTTTCCTCCATACCAGTAAAACAACAAACAAAAAGCATTGTTGGCAAGTTACTGTCCTCATTTTAAAATTCATTTTAGCCAAAAGGCAAAGTCAAAAATTAAACAATGACTGTCAGTTGTGGATGAGTAAGATCTCTGTAGTCTCACAGGTATATAGAGTATTGGTCAACCTCTTTAAAGGGTAAAAAAAAACCTTTAAGACTAAAAAGGGACCAGACCAGCTACACACAACTGTTGAATAATGTTTTGAGAAAACATTAAGAGAACACAGTCAAAATCTGCTAATATGATTCAAAGAAGTAAGAAAAAAATGATACTCAGGGAAAGGTATCTTTGATCTAAAGGATGATTAACAAAGGAAGGTTCCAAAATTACCCTCTGTAACACACACATTACAAAACAGGTTTGACAACAAGTTAGGTGAGCTTCTGAAGAGAGGACATAAAAGGTGATTGCCTCACCCAAATATATAATTAGTTGTTTCTCGAGGTAACAGAGGATGAAAATTTATCTTTGAGAATTCAGAGACAAGTCAGTCACCAGCATAAGTTACAACATAAGTTACAACTCTTGAAATCTAATCAGATATTTACTTTTTTTACATTTCAATGACATCTTAAAATTTTTTATTTCTCAGAGGCAGAAGAGAAGGCAGAAAAGAGATTATTGTGAGTAATATCTTTAACCTTCTCCATCCTCAACCCTAACAATAATCTTAGAAGTAAGGCATCTACTAATCTGTGGGCAAGGGTCTTATTAATTTTTGAATTATAAGAAAATGATGTTTACTGAAGACATTAAAAAAAACCTGACCAATCAAAAATAAACCCCAGTGTGATGAATTTTTATTTACAAAAAGGTCACTTGTTTATTTGCTGAAACAAAATCAACAAATGTTACCATCATAAAGGTACTAAAAAACACAGAACGAAAAGGAAGGGGGGGTGTGTTGACTGAATTGATCTCTTAAGAAAATGATGCATTTAAATTATACATGTTAAATATATAACAAAATATTTTCTTATGGTTCTACAATAGTTAAAACAGTGCTTATTCAAATAGGAAAAAGTTATTCAAGCCTCCTACACCGTTGACATTTAATACAAACACTCCTATAATTCTAATTATATCCTTGTAATAACTGACATCCTTACTAAAGTTCCAAAATGCCTCAGTAATAAGCTGGCTTCTATGGATCCATGTCAAGAAGACACAGATTTGTACACTGAGGGGAAGTGCAGCAAGTGTGTCCAATCGGGGCTCACTTACCTTTACAAAGCTCATGCGGATAGTGCACATTTTAGTGAGCTCATAGACTGTCTCGAAGCCATGGTTCACAGACTGTGCCAATAATTGAGCGAATTCTTGGTTATTAAAAATTTTCAAACTACACCCACTAGGGATCTTGCAAACAGTAGTGGGGTGAAATCCATGATGGTAGTTGCAGTTCCGACTTTGCACAAAGATGCTGCTGTCGCTGAGACATTCGGCATACACTTCCCCTCCAACATAGTAAAGATGCACTCCTGTAGGAAGACAACGCATGCAATGTCTTCATTGTCATTTTTCTCAGCCAAAAAGCATCTGTGTATCTTCAAGATACGAATTTGCATGGATTTAAACTCTGGCTAACTAGATAGATACTCTCCAAATCTTGCACAACTGATAAAATCTTAGTTAACCCTCTTAGGTCATACAATGTTCTTTTGTTAACACGGATGTCCAAGATGTTTCTAGGAAATAACAAAGAAAGGAGGGTCAAGACAAGTAAAAGACTTAGAAAACCAGAGGCGGAGGAAGTAGTGCTGGGAGCTGTAAGACGTAAGGTCCAGGGGAAAATAATTATAAAAATAATTCATACTGTGTGCAATCTGATCTCCCCAAACTACCATCTGCTCCAAACTTCTTCCTGTGACATCTTAGAGTGCCAGGAGTGTAGGAAATTGATCCTACCCAGCCTTTAAAAAAAGGAAAGTGAGGGGAGGGGGGCTTTCTGACAAAGCCCTACACCATTAAGGGAGATTATTATAGTCCATGCAGCGAACAGAATCACATCCCATGTGGCTTTAAACAATCTACTGTGCAGGTAACTCTGGCATATGCCTCAGCCAATGCTAAAACTATTGTCTCCAATCCAATCCAAAAAATTATGTGTTGTGTTTACATGAACACACAATGGCTAAGACTTCTGTAACAATTAAATAGCTGCTGGAGCAGAAGCCCACCTTCCTGCCTGATGTAGAGAAAACAATTTAAGAGACAGAGAGAGAGAGAGAGAGAGAGAGAGTGTGTGTGTTGACTTTTTTCCTGATTATAAAAACGAGGAATTTTCATTTTGAACATTTAAAAAGTAAAACAAAATATAAAGAAGCAGAAAATATCACTTGTTTAGTGACACAGAGGCAAGAACTGTTAATAGTTGGACACACTGGATTACAGGTTTTGAGTATTACTAACCTTTCTCTGCAAACATTTAAAGTATCTACATGATTATATGGATACAACAATTTACTTTAGCAATTCTCCCAATACTGGACCATAGCGTTGATACTAATTTTCTGTTATAACAATGCCAGGATAAATGTCTCTGGATTATTTTTGATAACATCCTTGGGAGAGGTTCCTGGAAGTTAAATCACTGGATTGAAGGCTCTTGATTCACTTTGCCAAACAACTTTCCAGAATGCTTGTATCAACTTACACCCTACCAGCAGTGTATGAGTGCCTTTCTCGTTTTGCCTGTGCCAGGACTAAGTTTAAGACAAAAACAAATAAATTAAAATAAATTACAGCTAAAAAACAATATTGTTTTAATTTGCATGGGAGACTGGATATGCTCTCATATGTTTATTAGCCATCTGTGTTTCTCTTATGAACTTACTTGTTCATATTTCTTACCTATTTATCCCACTGGGGTTCTAGTATTTTTATTGTTTTTTTATGAGCTATGTGTAAGCTATAAATAATTTATTTCCTATTTGCTTCCCCATTAGTCCTTTGTATTTTTTTTAATCTACAGAAGTTTGAAAGCTTTGAGTCAAATCTCTTGTGATCTTTTCTATCGCTTTTTATGCTTAGAAAATTTCTACCTCTTTGATCAAATGTATTTTCTTCTAGCTTAATAGCTTACCATTAAAAAAAAAAACAACAAAACTCAATTCATTAATCTATTTGCATACATGAAGTGAGGTCAGGGTTTCTCCCTATAGCCTCACCTAAAAGCTAACTTTGTTACTGCAGGACCACTAGAAGACTATGGATTTGTTATGCTTCACTTAACATACATTAATTTTGAAATACAATATAGTCTGAGTTTAATTTCTTCTACCATTTTGTCTAAACCTGATTTAATTGTAGTTTCATAATATTTAACCTAACATCAAGAATTTTTTCTTTATTCTTCCATTAAAAATTTTAGCTATTTTCACTTGTTTATCCTGCCAGGTAATAACAGAACACATTTTCCCACTTTCAAAAAAATAACACATTGTGATTCTGGCATGGATTGTTTTAAACCATAAACTGAAATTAGGAAGAATAGACATCCTTAAAATATTCTTACGATATTAAGCTTTCTCTTTAAGGAACACTGTTTATTTATATACCTAAATTTTCTTTCTCTAAAATTTGGTTTTCTTTACATAATTCTCATGTATTGCTGATTCAGATTATTTCCAAAAAATTACATTTTCTGTTGCTATTGGAAATGTGATTTCCCCCTCCACCATATTTTCTAACTGGTTATTGCCAGCTTAAAGAAAACTGGCATATAATTTCTAAAAATAAATTCTTTGGAAGTTTCTAGATAAACAACCATAACTTCTGAATAAACACAAGGACCATAAATATTACCAGGTCAGTATTACTTATGTCAGTAATACTAACATGGGTGAAGGAGGAAAGGCATTCATACACAGACTTATGGGGCAAGTGGAAAGTAATACAAGCTTTCTGGAAAGTAATTTGGCATAGTATATCAAGAGCTTTAGACCTACTAATTTCACTCCGAGAATCTATCCCAAGAATATTATCAATTAGTTAATCACATCATTTGCAATATTGATAATTTTGGCTTATTTCCATTATCGATAACTCTACATTTAAATACATTAGTCAAGGCATCTGGAACAATTTTAAATAACCACATTCCCAGAATCCTTATTTTCTTCCTATTTTTTGTTTTTTTAAAGTAGTCTCCACACTTGGCATGGAGCCCAATGTGGGGCTTGAACTCACCCTGAGATCAAGACCTGAGTTGAGATCAAGAGTCAGATGTTTAACCAACTGAGCCACCCACGCGCCCCTCTTCCTAATTTTTAATAGAAATGTTCCAGAGTGCAATGGCTTTTTAGTACTTTGGGGTAATGGTCAACTTTAGAACTTAAGGAAAAATATATCCCTCCATCCCAAATGTATGCAAAATTGTGTTCATGTACAATTTACAGGGTTTACAGATCATAGATCTCTCTGTTACGAACCTAGGTTCTAGCATTTCATCATCAAAATGTGGAGGTTAGGGTTTATTTTTTCTCCCTTAATCATATAAAGGAACTATCTATTAATTCCTGTTTTAGGCTTTTTTTTTTTTTTTTAAGGATCAAGTGTTGTATCTCAAATGCCTTTTAAGCATTTACTAAATAACCACTTAATCTGGTCCACTATTCTAGATTTTATAGGTCATTTTTAAAAAATGTTTACTACTGAAATAATTTCAAACTTATAGAAATAGAACAGCCAGGAAAAACAGAACAAAGAACACTCATATAACCACTATCCTGATTCATCTATTGTGACAATTTATTCCATGTTTGATCATTTGCACCTCCTTCCCCTCTATGCTTTTATACACACCCTCCTATACATTCATATATACACATCCACACATATATACATGTATATGCATATATCTATATATATTCTGAAAAAGGATTTGTTTTAGATGGAGATATCTTTACATATATACATAATGTGTATATACAGATATGTGTGTGCATTTCCTAAGACTAGGGATATTCTCTTATATAGCCACAGTACAGTTAGCAATGTCATTGCATGTAACATTGATATAATAGTTTTATCTAATCTATCACTCATGTTCTAGCTCTACCTGCTGACCCCAGTAAGGTCCTCTGTGGTATTTTTTCCCCTTTCTGGAACAGATCATTACACAGCTTATTGTAATGTGGGTCAGTGGGTCAGCTTATTACACAGCTGTCATAGCTCTTTAATCTCTTTTAATGTGGAACATTTGTAGACCTTTGTCTTCTGACGTTGATATTTTGGAAGAATACAGTTCCTCCTCACCCTTTTTAATAGAATTTTGAGTTTGTCTGAAGTTTCCCCACTGATGAGATTCAGACTGGCATTCTCAACTGGAAGTCTGCATAGATGATGTTACTTCCTTCTCAAGGCATCACATCCGGTGGTATATGACATCCATCTGTCTCTCACTGGTGGTGATAATTCTGATCTCCCAGTCAAGAAGCTGTCCAATGTCTCCACTGTATGATTACTGATTTTTATTCTCCCTTGTAACTAAGAGGCAGTCTGTGAGGAGACACTGCAAGACCATGCAAATATCCTGATTCTTGCAAAAAAATCCTCTGTTTAGCATCCACCGAGGATTCCCGACTGATGGCTGCAAAATGATGACTTTCCAACTCTAGCACTCACTCTACATTTCCCAACCAGCCTTCCTCATTCATTCCTTTATCCATTTATTATTGGCATGGACTTACAAAATTACAGTTGTTTTTCAGTGGCTTAAAATCCACAGCTGTACTTAATTACCTTGGTGCTCAAACCATCCCAGAATTGGCCCAGGGAAGCCCCTCCAAGTTGGCTCCTGTGACATGCCCCCATCATTTTCATAAGCGTTTCTTCACTGTCTGGTGTAACAAAATGTTCCAGGCTCATCATTGTCTACCTGTAGTCAGCCCTTTCCCCGAGAAGCCCTGGATCCTCTCTCAGTGGGAAATGGTGTTAGAGATGATGGGCCGAGCACCAGATGTGCTTACTGCTCCTGGGTGTCTTTGCTTGTTGGCCCTTTCAGCTGACAGATCACAAACTATATGCATGTTTGAGCACACGTACACACACGCACGCACACGCACGCAGCCACGAGAACACCAACAGGCATACACACATACGTACACATATTATTAAATCATTTCACCCTGATATCTCCACAGGGTTTATCTTTTGCCCTCCTCCACACCTGTGTTTCTTATTCCACAGTGAACAGCCAGGCTCTCAGCAACATCCACACACTCAGTCATTTGCTTCATCTTCTATCTCAAAGATCCCTAACTATTTTATTCATACTGCTACCAGATAATCAAGTCTACTAAAAAGGGTTCAGGATTTGTTTGCAAGCGCTCCACCCTACCTGGCACGGCCTGGAGATTCATAGCCGAACACTATATTCGTAAGTTATTCTGGATTGGTTCTTTCTTTCTTTTCCCCCGTGAGTTATGGTACTTATTTGAAACACATTAGGTTTACTTGTTTTAACTTGCATTTAGTTTTAGGTTGTAAGTCACTTTCGAACAGCTGCTTTTTATCCTGCAGCCAAACGTAAGCTAGAGCAGTGCTCCCCAGATCACTATTTCAGCTAATTAATACCAACTCCGATGAGGCGGCAGACCATGAAAACTGCTGATTGGAAAGTGAGCAACGTCCTGCTAATAGAAACTGAAAGAATATTTACCAACCAGAGCCAGTGTTTCCTACCTGATGTTTGCTATATGAGTCTGCTCTAGGAACGACTAAGTCGGTTCTAGGGGAAAAGGGACACAAGAGACAAACATTTGAAAGAGGTTCAAGTGCAAACTCACCTTTTCCAATGTGCCGCCTGGTGTTTTCAATAGTGGAATTCCGGTTAACATTGGAGAGCAGCCCAAGGCAGAAACGGTTCTTATTGTTGGAAGGATCGGTGAAACCATCCACCAACACACTTGTGGAGGAGGCGTGGAACGCTTCACCCACACGATTATTGAGCTCATAGTAGACAATAGAGCACCAGTGTTTTGGTTCCTCATAAGCAACCGCCTGAACATCTGTAAGAAAGAAAAGCTTATAGTCAACCTCGGTTAGTGCCTCGGGCTCTCAAAAGCTGAAACTGTGTTGTAAAATTGGCTCAGGATCATGGAATGAAGATATGGAAAAGCAAGGGCCATTATAACATATATGGTTTCTCTATGACATCCAAAATAGGTCCTCCTTACTAAGTGTGACATTCCCCTTTAATTGGAAAATAATTTTCTCCAATTACTATCAGATCACCAAAACGCCAGCTAAGCAAGCATACCAAGAGCATTTGCTGAACACTCACAATATGCTACCCGCTCTGTCATATGCCAGAATGAAAGTCACCCCCACCACAGACGCTGGCTCCCCATCTAAAGAAATACAAGTAGCAAGTGAAAAACCAATGGGAAGAGCACAATAGAGGACAGGAAATGTGCCAAAGGTGCTGGCAGAAAAAGGGCGACTTTCAACAAAGCCTTCACAGGCCTAGGCTTTTTTCAAAGCAATGAAAATCAGTTTCTAATGATTGATAAGCAGTTCCCTTACTTCACATTCAGCTGCCAATAACGATCACAGCCACAGCTCGGCTCCAGTCCTCAAACGCAGGAAGAAATCTTGCCAGCTGGCCATTTTTACAGAATGAATCATATCTCGCTCATCCAGATTTCATGCTAACTTCCTTATATTTGCTTTAAGTCATGCAGAGCAGGTGTGTTTTGTCTCTCCATTCCCAGAATGGGCCAACAATGGAAATTACCCAACTTTACTGACAGGATGCAGCTTGTTAAGTCAAATCTCTTAAGACTAACAAATCTCCAAACAGAACATGCTTCTAAACATTTGCAACTAAAAGGTTCTAAAGATAAGTTCCTTCTGTAGTAAAACCTCTTATACCACTGCTTTAGAGATTCCAGGAATACAAACCACGTATGCCCAGTATGCCAATACGTAATGATCTGAGGTTTACGAGGTCCTGAGCGTACAGTCGTAAAAAGAGAAAGAATATCCGCATTAGAAGCATAAGCTGTAACTGCTTAGGAAGAAGTACTTCTGTGTTCTTAACATCAACCTCCACGGATATCCCAATGCACTTAATTTTAGCATTTGGTAAAGAAAACAAAGAAAACGATCATTAAAAAAAAATCCACGCAAACGTTAGCCACTCTATACACTTAAGCAGGTGAGCCCAATACAGGCGTACGCTATCTTCTCTGCTGAGCAACGATCCCAGGTCAGCTTGCTGTATTTCAAAGCACAAAATTTTAGTGATTTACCTAGTGCTAGATCTTAAAAGAAGGCTGCAACATCATTACAGAAGGCTTTTATAAGCTATTGGGATTGTTCAAGATACTATTCATTTAGGTCGGAGGATGACACATTTTTTCCTGTAAAAGACCAGAAAGATTTTGTGGGCCATCTGGTCTCTACTGCAACTATTCAGCTGTGCCCTAGCAGTGCTAAAGCTGCCAGATCATACGTAATGGACGTAGCCGTGCTCCCGTAAAAATTTATTTACAAAAACAGGCAGCGGGCTGAATTGGTCTGCGGGCTGTAGTGTGCTGACTCCGGCTTTAGGGAAACCACCAAAGGTAAACCAGTAACAGAAAGGCCAACATTCCTTCCTCATGAAGATATTAACTGTAAACTTATTCTAATGGGGAAATTTCAAAAAGCTATTTAAAGGAAAAATTTTATAGCAACTTAAAGGCCTATTTCCTGACAGCAGACATTTTAGGTTTACCCACGATCGCCACAGGGTGCACACGCTCCTCACTGGGCAGTGGTGCTGTGCTGGTCCTCTCCTGCTGACCTGTTCCCGAAGTACAAACTCCAAAGATGGGGGAGACAGGACGGTTTTTTTCCCCTCAGCCAGCATTTTTATTTTTTGGTTGATAATTATGTTTGGGAGGTTGTTCGAGAGATTATGAGGAACCATAAGATACAGAGCCAATAAGACAGATGTAAAAATATTTTACAGATTAAGTCGTACATTCCAATTTATTACACTGCACATCTAAGAAAGGTTAAGTTTACCATCAGGTTTTAAGAACTTAAAAAAAGGTAAGCAACTCTGATAAAGTCTGAGGTACCTCCCATTTTAATAAAAAAGTAGTTAAGAACAAAATGAGACATACACCTAGTAATGAGATTGCACTGTAACTTCAGTTTGCGTAAAATGCATACATATTGAGAAATGGTCCATGCCACGGGGCACCAGGGCAGCACCTTCTTCCACAAGAGGTTGTTTGGGACTTTTCTTCAACAACGTGGTCATGACCTCCTAGGGTACTCAGGGACTCATCCCAACACTCACTGACCCGAGTTCTCTGCTCGGCTGGGCCCACACCACTTGCCAGTGCAGAACGATGGCGTTTTCCCCTCAGTCACTGCCGGCGGTATGGTGGTATGACAGGGCTGGAAACACACCCACTCTCTACCAGAAAGGGAAAGAAATGCTCCATCCTGCTTAGAGATGCTGCTTATGCGCTTCCAGGTGAGAAGAGGAAAAACATGTGCCTCCGCCCCTTTTGTAATAAGGTTAGAAACAAATAAATACAGCAAGAAAGAAACAAATGTTATATTAGTTTGTTCCAGCTGCAGCTGTATATGGATGAGGGCTGGAAAATAATGATATTGATAAATATCAACAAAAGAACCTTTGGAAAGCCTTGTTCTATGAACTTCTAATTTTGGAAATGACCAAGACAACTCCACTTTAGTAATGTTAGGCTCACTGTTTCTTACTACTACCCCTCTGTCCTTCACTTAAAAATATTCTTTTATCACCAATTCAAAATTATCAAGTATTGTGCTCTCAACAGAAGACTGCACAATCATACTTAGGCCTTCATTAGTTAAGTCAGTGTGTTCTTCATAGGAAAGATTTATTTGTAATCCAAAAAATTCTACCTAGCTTCTCTTACTGAGCTCTTTCACCAACAGCTATCTTTTTACAGACTAATAAACATTTGTGAGAGAAAGTAACATTTGGACAGATAAACTTTAGACACTAAAAAGGGAATACACAGCAATGCATTTTACCTCCTCTGTTGATTTCTGAGGGCAGGGAGGGTGCCATCATATTTGTGTCCATTGGCTGAGAGCCATCCTGGGTCATGGGGTCTTCGGGAGGCAGGTAAGCAGGCGGGGGTGTATCAGCTACAAAGTTTAAAGAAAATGATTTCTTTCTCCTTAAATAAACACACACGCTTAAAACATATATTGTGTGAAACTGAGACTGAATTGCCCATTTCAACTCCCCCATCAGAAAATGGCTGCTACAGACACTGAACTGGATGTACACTTTCTGCAAGTGCCTAACACCTCATGATCTGGTACAACTGTAGTCAAAGTCCAGTGGGAGGAAAAGCGCTCTCTGCCAGTTCCAGGAGCAGTCTGCCTAACTGGGCTCGTGCTCTCTTAGAATAATCAGAAGAGCATTTAAACACACTTCCATACAAACCACTTTGAGAGGACCTCTGCATTTCAGTTTCACTGGTGGATGGAAAAGCTACATAAGATTTCTTAAGAAAAAGAGCTTCAGGGTCTCTTCCATTAAACTCATAGGCTCTTAGGAATTTACCAACTGACTTTCATTATAGCCAATTTGCTGACTTCGACTGTTAATTTTTCCTGACTTCAAGCACTCTGTTAGGACTACCTTCTCCCTACCTACTTTAATAATCACTAGTTTTAAAACCCCTCGTAGCAGAGTAATAATCAGTTTATCACAGCTATTTTCTATTTCAGAATTTACGTATGTTCTTCTAGAAAGCTCAGAGCCAGCTGGCAATAAGAGGCCAAGAGCATGACTTTTGAAACAAAGAACACTAATATGGGTCTTGTGTTTTTCTTAAATAAAATAAGGGGTAATGGGTTGCCCACAAATAGTCCTTTGTGATCAAAAAGCAAGTCCCTCACTGGCTATTGGGAGCCCATCTAGCACACCTGACAGGGCAGGGAACAAAGCTTTACCTTAGGGAACCATGAACAACCCAGAGGAGTAGCCGAGATCACTCAGGGCAACTGCGGAATACAAATGGCCAATGCTGCTGCTCCTTTAACAGCTTTTCAGAGATTTCCAAGACCGAGTCTCCAGCTGACTCACAACCCAGGAACTCCCACTGTCCAGCTGACAGCAAGCAAGGACTCACAGCACAAAGACAGGACTATGGGGACCTTATCTGGATGCCTCTGTCACCCTTTCTCTGTCTTCTTTTAATTCAGCTTCTTCCCCTGCAGCTGTAACACTGACTCTGCTTTACTTCCAGCCAGGAATGAAGACAACGAGCATCAAGCCTCTGAGACCAAATCCAATAAATTTCTGCAAATGAGCTGGTGAAAATTTCATCAGCAACCGATGGCATCCGCACCACTGGGAGAGACCACCAGATAGCGATGGGTAATACTCTGCTATTCCCACAAGTGCCTCCTCCCACCCCTGGCCGCTTTCTCTTTTCCACGTTTCCTTTACGTGGCCTGTGGCCTTAATCCCTCAGAGCTGGGGACAATGTGTAAACTCAAGCAATAATCTTTTGAGTTTTTCACTCTTGGCCTCACCCTGGCTTTGCCACTACTCAAAAGCTTCTGAAACTATCTCTTTACCACTTACCTGTTCATCAAACCCAACGGGTCTGGGAGAGAGTCGGGTGAATAGGAGATCACCAGATGATACTTAGTTTGACTTTTAAACTCATCTATATCCCTGCTGCCCTGCCTCATCCTAAACAGTTTTGGATTGAGAAACAAAACAATGCAAGATAAAAGGCTCAAAACCAAAAGAAGTCACAAATATGGAAATAAAAGCAGTATCAAGTGTGGACCACTTTTCAATTTTTGAGGACCTACCAGCACTGTTGTCAAATTCACATTTACTTAAAAACATTTCAAATGGCCTAATAAACAGGACTGTCCACCCATTTTTCCCTTCTTGAAGTATTAATCAATGTTAAGTACATCTTTGTGTAGAGCATCTTTCTTGAAGTCTACTGGCAAGAAATTTGGCACTAATCATTTTTTGTGAGATGCTTTGCTTACTAACCTATAATTTGAAAAATATGTCCTAATTAATCATTTATTTTGATAAACATTACACTATCAGTTAAATCTAAAAAAGGAGGATAATTGTCTTTGTCTTTGCTAAGTTAAACAAGCAGATGGTCTCCAATACTTCTGCTGCATTTCCTTTGTTGCTAAAGTATATATTTCTTGGGATTACATCACCACTTAAGTGAATTTAATTAAGTAGGGGGGTGTGATCCCTCAGGAAATATCTTTTCTGAGGTTGCACTTAAAACAGGGTTTTTTTTTCCCCCACGTACAGCAATGTGTGCAACACATTATTTTTCTCTTTCTCTCTTTTATCAAGAGCAAAGACTGTAACAATTATGCCACTCCTAGAAGGATGCAGCTGTTTCAAAATCAAAAATAAAACTTATTCAAGCTTCTGTGCCTGACAGATAAAACAGGACATTTGCTTGCTTGACCACAGCGGCATCCTGCATCTGAGAGCAGAGCGCCGTGTAACAGAGCTGAAGAGCACTCTGTGTGCTGGTGTACCCGGCTCCCCCCCAACCCTTGCAGCAGCACTGTCTACCTGACCCGAATGATGTGGAACGTTCCAACCCACCTGGCATCTGGAAAGGGCTTCCTGGGTCTGAGCTGGTGGGAGAGTGCGGGTAGGTACCACTGCTGCTTCCAGGAGAGTTGGGGTAGCTGCTACTGGGGGAGTGAGGGAACGGATGGCTGTTGGGTTGCTGGAAAGAATCCGGGAAAGTGGCGTTGAGGGGCATGTGAGGCTCATTTTGTCCTAAGTTACGGAACTGAGCTAACAGGCTGTGCTGAGGATTATATTCGCTGTGTCTTGGAACCAGCACTGGAGGAAGAACTGGAAAAAGGGAAAGAAAAGTGAGAGATAAACATGGAAATGATGAAAATCTGTAATAACGTCACAATGAACCCTGCCCTGCTGCCAACTCAAAAGCGTCATTCAAGCGCAAAGCACCTTTCACTCAGGAATCAATGTGGTAACAGATGGTCTCTTTAGAACGGCTGTGACTTGGGCTCGAGACCTACAGCACAAACTGCCCAGGGAAAGTCTGCAAAACACCTTCTATGTTAAAAATGTTAAGGTTGGTTAGCCTGGTGATGGTATTAAAGAGGGCACGTACTGCATGGAGCACTGGGTGTTATCCGCAAACAATGAATCATGGAACACTACATCAAAAACTGATGATGGTGCTCGCTTCGGCAGCACATATACAAAAAGTGATGATGTAATGTATGGTGATTAACAAAACACACACAAACAAAAATGTTAAGGTTGCCCCATTCTTAATGTTTTCATTCACTAAAAACTGAAGTACAATTAAGAACATATACCACCGACGGTTCCAAGCTCACAGCTCTGGTTGATATTACGTTGAAAGAATTAATACTTACTGAATGGTATGGATTATTCACCACAAATGTTTTAAACTGACATATTAACTCACTTTAAAACAAAAGGAGGCACAGTAAATAAGATTGAGAGGATAAATACAGTGAGCAGCATAAAATCCAAATGCCAATGAAGGTAGTTAATTAGATAAAATATGATGTTTTGTGGGACAGACTTTATGTTGTGTCCAAGCAGTCACACTTCACAAAAAACCTTTTCCCTGAGGATATTAATGCATATAACCCACTTCTCAGTAATCCTCAGCACTGCCTGACAGGCAAAGGAAAAAACAGGTTATACAATCCACATTTTGCTAATTGGATACTCAAGGTATAAAGGCCAAAAACATACACACCATTAGAGAAGGAAAGAAAACAGCTCAAGCCATTCCTAAAAGCTCTGTATGTTAGGAACCTACGGAGTTAATAATTAGCAGGGTCTGCAACCTCCAGAAACCTCTAGAGGCAAAGCCACTATAAATAAGATGCTAATCGAAGTGAAGGCCTGGGTAACAAGCCCTAACTGGGTTAGATCCTCAACTTCCCACCACAGTCTCCAGATAGTTCCTCCCCAGGAACAAAGGCCCTCCGAACCCCTACTACTCTCATGGCCTTGGCTAGAAAAACCATCCATTTGGAAATCTGCATGGAGGAGAGGGGAGGAGATTTAAAATCTGCTACTGTTGTTGGGAGCTGGAACTCAGAATATATTCTCCCGAAGAAACAATATTTAGTGGCATTAGGGATTAAGTAGATTTTTGAGGGCTTTCCTGGGAATCTATCTGTAACTTACACCATTTCTGCAGGAAAATGTGCCCTGATCACTTAGATTATCACTTACTCATGAGCTGAAGATTGTTTTTCTTTTAAGTAAAAATAGGTTCTTCAAGGTCTTAAACGGTCTCACAAGCTATATCTTAAATTGCTGATCTGTAGAAATAAATTCCCCACTAACTGATCCTTTAAAAAACAAATCTTTTTAGTATAATACTATGTATTTCCTTTACTGCACAGTGATGGAATCTACCCAAATTAAGTCATCAAAAGCTTAATTCCTCCTTCTACCTTTCAATAGTCACCTGAAATATAAACTATTTTGATGAAGAAAAAATTCCTAATTGTCATAAAGGCTCCCCAATGTCAATAAATCTATATTCCAAAATAAACAAAGGCTCTGAAATAGCACAATACCTTTGAATTACCCATGCAATTAAAAACATTCTTCTTCTTTGAGCTGCTGCAGCTGGAGTCACTACTTTCCAGCTTGCCTTTCATGGTCATCTAGCGATAGTCTCAATTCTGATTAGGGCCTCTAAAAGGGGGTAAATACCGGCCTCTAAACCCTGCCCCCAAAATGCAGCACCAGACAACACCTGGAGTCCATCCGCCATCTTGACCCTTCAAAGGACACCTCCCCAACACACACACACACACACACTCTCTCTCTCTCTCTCTCTCTCTCTCTCTCTCCCCTTACTGGAGCCCCTGTTTCAGCGACTCCTATTGCCTATAATTTGAGAACTGGGAATTTGCTTCTTCTCATTGCTCACAGATGACAGTGGCAGCAGGAGGCAATGTACACCTCGAGTTCGTGTTTGGCATGTGTGTTCCTGCAGCAACTCTGTTGTGTGCTGCGGTGGTCTGGCTCCGGGGCGCAGTGCCCTCCTTAGTCCACAGCGCAGATGACATCATCAGCTTTTGCAGATGACCTGGGAATGAGCCATCAACTACAGCAAAGCACCACCCTACAGATAAACTTGAGGAGAAAAATAACTTTTTCCTCACCTCTGATTAATAAGATAAGATCAATTTTGCCACTGCCGACATAGGTACAAGTATCTTTATTATTTTTTTTAAGCGGGCTCCACGTCCAACGTGGGGCTTGAACTCATGTCCCTGAGATCAAGAGTCCCACGCTCTACAGGCTGAGCCAGCCTGGTGCCTCGGTACAAATATCTTTTAATAAACTTAAAAAAAATGTATTGAGGTATCACAGACCTATAGTAAAATGCACAAGTGTTCATATAAATGGAATAATATAGACTCTTGTGTCTGGGTTCTTTGGTTCAACACTATGTCTGTAGGAGCCATCCAATGTTGTGTGTGGCATCTTATTATGTGTGTATTACGATTTGTTTACTCAGTCCCCCATCTAACCTCCTTAAAGGACAATCAATTTATTTTTATCCCCTGGTTTATCCTTCCTGTATTTCTTCTTGAAAAAGTTAAGCTGATAAATATGTGCTTTCTTTTGTCTTTACTACTAAACAGGAAAACAGCCTACTCTATATATTGTTTTGCACTTTGCTTTATTCACCTATATCCTACAATTAACTTACTAATTTAGAGAGATCTTCCTCATTTGTTTTTGCAGGTAATACAGCACCATAGTTTCTTCAACCAATCTCCCATATCTGGGCAGTTTACAATATTTTACCACTACATGTAACACTGTAACGAACAACCGTATGCACACATATACTGCCGTATTGTTAAAGGAGTACCTTCTGGGTAAATCCCTAGAAGTGGCCATAGTGGATGAAAATGAAGATACAGCTTTGTTATCGTCAAGTATCCCTTCACAGGGGTTGTGCCATTTCGCATTGCTACCGGCCATGTATGATAGTGACTTTTCCCCCACAGCCCCTAGGACAGACCATCTTGTCAAGATTTTTTTTTTAAGGAATTTTTTTCTTTTTCTTTAAAGATTTTATTTATTTTAGACAGAGAGTGGTGGGCAGGGGCAGAGAGAGAGACTCTCCAGCAGACTCATGCTGAGTGCAGAGTCCAAAGTGGGCCTTTACCCAATGGCCCTCAGATCCTGACCTGATCCGAAACCAAGAGTTGGACGCTTAACCGACTGAGCCACTCAGGTGCCCCAAGATTTTGATTTTTTGGACAATGTGATGGGTGAGAAATGGTATTTTGGTGCAATTTTAATTTGTATTTCTCTTATGGTGAAAGTCGATCATCTTTTCATGTATTTCAGGGGGTATTTTAATATACGGTCTTGCAAATGGTCTGCCTGTGCCTTTTGCCCATTTTTTGGTCTTTTCATTTTTCATTAAAAAATATAAATAAATACATATTAGACATCTTAGCCTGTGCTATTTTATATGTTACAAATATTTTATCACAATCTGTCATTTGTCTTTGGCTTTACTTATTTGAAAAAGCTTATTTTTTTTTGGTAATCAAATTTATCAATATTTTCCTTTATTGCATATGGGTCTTGAGTCACAGAAAGGCTTCTCCTACACCCAGACTGTGAGGAGGAATTCACGCATGCATTCTTCCAGTGCATATAAAGTTTTCTATTTTACTTAGATCTCTGATCCATCTGTAGCTCAGTTTTATTTATACTATGAGGAACAGATCTAATTTTATCTTTTCCCAAATGGTTGGCCAGTTGCCCCAACACCATTTATTAAAAAACCCATCTTTTCCTCAGTGACTGGATATACCACCTTTTTCGTAAGGTTCCCATATATGTTAGGGTCTATCTTTAGACATTCCATTCCATTCTATTCTAGTCGGTGCCCCACCACCACTGTGTTAATTATAGAGGTTTTATTAATATGTTTTAATAGCTTATATGGCTAGTCCCCCCTCACAGTTCTCTTTCAATGGTCTGCTTGCATGCTTACTCCTCCATATCAACTTTAGCTATCACCTTGTCTACCTCCAGAAAAAAAGAAATTTTGGTGCTTGTACTGGGGTCACAATATATTTATAAATTAACTTATTGGTAGGAATATCTTGATGTTCAGATGTCCCATTCAAAACCTAGGACGGTTTCTTCAAGTCTACGTTTGCACCTTTTAGGAACATTCCATAGTTCCTCTCCATGTTCATCTGCTAGGGCTGCCATAACAAAATACCACAGACTGGGTGGCTTACAAAACAGACATTTATTTACTCAACGTTCTGGTGGCTGGAAGTCTGAGCTCAAGGTGTTGGCAGTGGCAGGATGGTTTCTCCTGCGACCTCTCTTCTTGGCTTGCAGATGGCTATTTTCTTCCTGTGTGTCCTCACGTTGCTTATTTCCCGGGTGTTTCTGTGTGTGCCCTAATCTCCACTTACAAGGACAAACTGGATTAGTACCCACCCCAATAGCCTCAACTTTTTTTTTTAATTTAAATTCAATTAGCCAACATATATTACATCATTAGCTTCAGATGTAGAGATCACTTTAACTTTTTAAAGGCCCTATTTCCAAATACAGTCATATTCTGAGGGACTTTTGATTAGGGCTTTGACATATAAATTGGGGGGGGATGAACAAGTCAATCTAGAACACCGCATTAGGTTTTATACATTTCTTATTACATTTACTCTCATTTTATCTTTTCTGTTGCTACTTTAAATGGAGTTTTCTCTTCCATTATATCTTCTAACTGGTAATTATTTTTACATATGAAGGTTATTGATATTTCCTTGCTTTTATAT